CTGGTGAGAAGACACATCCTTGCCTTACGCCCCTTTCTATTTTTTCTATATCCGCGGAACACAATCTCCGTGCGCATACATGGCGTTTGCTGCCAGTATAGGTTCTTGATTATTCCAATATCTTTCCCAAATATATCAAGGTTGCTGAGCAATTCCAACAGATCTTTGTGGCGTACTTTTTCGAACGCCTTTGCGTAGTCCATAAAACATAGATACACGTCCTATTGCTCTTTCTGATAACATTCTGAGCATGAATATCGCATTCCTTATTCCGGTGTCTTTAATGAACCTGCACTATTCTTGTTCTATCTCTTGCCTGATTCTGCTGTGCGATCTATTCATCAGAATACGGATGATGAGTTTTGTGACGTGGCTCATTAGGCTGATTGTTCCACTGCCTGGTTTCTTAGGCAGTGCTATGAAAATAGATCTGCTGAGATCTTCCGGTATATCCTCACTGTTGTAGATTTCATTTATTATTTCTGTGATTTTGTCTATGCCAAAATCATCTAAGGCTGTCATCATTTCCGTTACAATTCTGCATGGCTCTCCCGCCTTGTTTCTGTTTAATTTGACCAGTGCAACTTCTACTTCGGTTTTTAGAATTTCACGTCCGTCAGTAGTTTTGTGTATTGCTGGTTGTGCTCTTTCGTCGTGGAAGAGTTCTCCAATATGTTCGCTCCAGCGCTGAAGAATTTTTTCCTTCTCTAATATGAGAGTTCCATCCTTTGATTTTATGCAGCCTGTTGGCGAACATGTCTTCTGTCCTGTTAGTTGACTTATTTGTTTATGCATATCTTTGTTATTGGTACTCAATCTCTCTATTTCTGCACATTTTTTGTTTAGCCACTTTTCTTTAGTGTGCCTGCATTTGGTCTTTATTTCATTATGTAATTTTCTGTATTCCGTTCCTTATCTTGGCAGAGTTTTTTGTCTCCTTTGCATCATGTCGAGAATCTCATCAGTCATCTATTCGTTTTTTCTTCTTCGTCCATTCTCATTTGAGATGATAACGTTTGCTTATGTCACTAAAGTGTCTCTTAGTGTGTCCCATTTCGAGTTTCCATTGTGTCCCTTTTCACATTGTCCATATATTTTTTCTTTCAGGTACGGGTCGCTCAGGAGTTTGTTGTATTGCAATTTGGGTGCTGCGTTAGGCTTCTTCAGTTTCACTCAGTTAACGGCGCTGATCGCTTCTGCAGTCGGCACTTGATTATGTTTTGCAGTGAACCATTGCATTCCTGAAACTTTTGTTGATAGCTATGTAGTCAATTTGGTTTTTAGTTTCTCCTCCATGTCCATAATCGCCTCGGATGTTCTTGGAACTATGTGTTGGTTATTATCTGTTCATTGGCTCATATTTTTCATTGGATCTATTTTTCTCCGCGTTCGTTGCGAGTTCCTAGTACGAATTTTCCGGCTATATCCCCTGCTCCCTCTCTCTCTCTCTCTGCCTACTTTGGCGTTTAGGTCACCCATGTTAATTATGACTTCTTGTGATTTGCAAAGAGACTTGACATTGTCTAGCATGGAGTAGAAAGATTCGATTATTATTATGATAGCTATATTGAGAGGCTTTCCTTTCAAAAAAACAGCATCATGGAAAAAGCGATTCTTAGTAATTACAATTGGAATTTCATGTTAAATCTTGCTAACATTGAGTCAATGGTCATATAGTAAAAAGTGTGACTCTTTAAAAAATACGTCTCCATTTCAGGGACCAAATGCACTGTGGTTGGTTGGGTTAGGAAGATGGAAGACCAAGCAAGTAAAGAAAGACGAAGTCACTTTGGGGCGGGGACTTCTATTAGATGTTACAGTGACTAGCCCTTCCTTAAACCCTTCGGAATGGCGACTTGGCGTTTTAAATAAAATAAGACTAAAGGAAAACAAGACAAATTTTTTTTCTTCATTTTCCTGACTTTTTTATCGAGCAACTAGAGAGAGTCTCATTAGTTACCAAAACTAAGTGAGCCAGATTACACACGATATATACGCGTATATGACGAAAATTTTAAATTTACAAAATTAACCTAACCGGTCTGAAAACAAAAATTAAAAAAAATACATCCAAGCATCATGGAAAAACGATTCTTAGTATTTATAATTGGAATCTCATGTTAAATCTTGCTAACTTCGAGTCAATGATCATTTCATAAAAAGTGTGACTGTCTCTAAAAAATATGTCTCCATTTTCAGGGACCAAATGCGCTGTGGTTGGTTGGTTGGGGTAGGAAGATGGGGGGTCCAAGCAAATAAAGAAGAAGTCACATGGATGTGGGGACTCCTATAATGACCAGTCCTACCTAACAGGTCTGAAAATAAAACTAAATAATAATAATAAAAAGATATATCCAAACAACATTATGAAAAAAGCGATTCTTAGTACTTACAATTGGAAAACTGAAAATCCAACGGCAACTGGCATAAAACGAAACAAAAGCGTTAGCGTTATTAAATCTTACCTAAAAACATAGGAAGGAAAGTCACATCTTTGGTTTTATCAAAAGTTTAGGTTAGTTTCTGAGTCTGAACAAAAGTTATGGAAAACTTAAAATCTTGTACTGTCTATTTTGGCTAAAATCTGAAAAAAAAATGCGTTAAAAATAATTTTTAAATAAAAATCTTTTTTTATTAAATTTTGATTTTTATAATTATTATTTGAAAGTTAAAAGTTTATGATAAAAGAAAAATAATTTTACGTATTTCAATAAGGTTTTTAACGGATAATTAAAAAAAAAATATCACGGTCAATTTATCGATCCGCCATTTTAATTGAAAAATGGCCATAGAAAATTAATGACACAATTTAAAAATTTCTTACTAATAAAATATCTATCTTATAGATTTGTTTCAAAGAAAATTTAGTAAAATTAAGGATTAATTAACACCAGTCTTAGTTAAAACAGAGAAAACCACATTTGACAAGCCACAACAAGATATACTCTACCTATCAACAACTCCATAGGTCAAACACTAAATACACAAATTATATAGCATAAGACCATTTTTAAAATGTGGGGAGTGGTGTCCTCACTGTCCTGTCGCTAATTTCACTATCCACACTCACTGATCCATTCGCACGAATATAGTTCTTTTCACCAAAATGTCTCCTTTACCGTCCCCCATAATACCGCATTTATTTATGACTCTCTAACTAACTCCATAATATACCGTAGGGGCAGGGAATGGAAAATAACAACAATAAAAAAATTCATGGACTAAGAATGGAAGTTTTTTCTACTAAGTTCGTAGTCAAAAAAAAAAATTCCCCATTCTTAGACGTTCTCTTAGAATAGTAACAACACATTTATCACCTCATTGTATAAAAAAAAAAAAAAACACTAGTAGAAACTCTTGTCACTTTAACTTTAAGAGTGAATGCCCACTCAGATACAAAATAACAGTGATAAAAAACTTCCTAAAAAGAGCACACCAGAATTCATCATCTCGACTACTCTTCCTCAATCATGCAAAACAGACACTAGCTAACAATGTCATCCCTAACCACCTTATAGACCACCAAATTAGACTATTTCTTCTCAAAGTGAATAACAATGATAGTGAACACACAGTCAAAAGTAATATAAATATTTTCTACAAAAAACAAATGCACATCAACTACAAACAAGATGACTCTTCACTTAGAAATATCATACACTACCCCAATTGACCCGAACAAAAAATCAAATTATCTACTACAAAAAATTTTAAAATAGTTAACCCTATCATCAAAAATAACAACACACTAGTAAAATCAAAATTACAACGAACGAACATTATTTATGAGTTCAAATGACCCTAAAGGAACGAATTCATAAATAATTACATCGGTCACACTACTACCTGCTTATCCAGACGCCTTACGTTACACCTATCTAACCACAGCTCTATTAGAACACATTTAAACACACTGTGGCTTGTCAAATTTAAAAGATTCCATCCTAAACATACTAGTAGAAAATACAAACATAATAACATCACCCACATTTAAAATAGATTAAAAATAATGGAAGCCTTAATAATAAAAAAGAAAAAAACAGTATTCAATAATATTAACTACGAACACGGCTACAGTGTGCTAACTGTGTTCGGAAAATAAAACATCTCTATAAATCTAGAAACATACACACAACTCATACACCTAATTAAAATGCAAAAATAAAATCATCCTTGATAATGGCTAAAAAAATAGCTGAAAGCGCTCGGAATTACAGGACATTTGAACTGTTTCTATACACTCTGTGTCCAGAAAAAAATAAATAAAAAGCTTAATCGCAGTACCTTGTCTTTAATGAAACACGTATAAATGAAGGGCTGCTTCCTAAATACACTATATATATATATAACATTTGTAATTGTCGGATATCATTTATAAAGTCAGTGAGTGAAAACTAAAAGTGAAAACTTATCTGAAATTTTCCTTTCCGCCTTGTAATTTCCCCATTATGTGTTTTAGATACAATTTTCAGAGTATTTTCAAAGGTGAGAGATTTTACCATATGTAGGACAGATTGATTTAAATGGAATTTTTACTATTCAATATAAACTTATGAGTAGGTACAAAGACCCACAAACAGACAAGTTGTCGAATGTTTTTTCTATCCACACATTTTTTACATTTTTAGAGGAGTTTTCTTAAAACTATCAAATGTTTCATTCAAACACATGCTTATTTCAAATAATTTACTAGCTAAGTAAAAAAAAAACTTCAAAAGAAAGCATATGGACAGGATCTAGGAACGTTAATTCCTAGATCATGTCAACGATGTTTATTTGTAACAAATTTTACAGAAGACCAAAGAAAAATCATTAAAATGAGTCGAAACTATCAAGGGGAGATCATTCTTTAAACTTTCGATCTGAAATCTAATTATCTCCCGTTACAAAACTATGGCTGCGTCCTTTGGTTAACGTGTGTTACAGTGTTTATCACCGGATCGACACATTCGACATTTGTATTTCTTCTTTAATTATTTATCTACTTATATCTTGAAGTCATGTTTGCTGTGCATCTTTTGTGCAGACGATCCGGTGCGTTACTAACTTCAAGATTAACATCGAAATCAGTTCCTTTCATTTCCAGGTAACATAACTGTACACACTACACTACACTACAAACATTAAAAAACAAGAAAAATATTCTTAAAGTCATGAAAGTATTTTTTTTTTTTACTTTAATGTTTTATACAAAATATTGTTTAGGATTATTTTTTCAAATATGATCCTATGTCCAAACTTGTCAAAAATCTTTGTTTGTAGTAACTTAAACTTAGTAATAATTATTTTTTTTAAATGAAAAAAATAAAAACCGATTTAATACTGTAGATGACAGAATAACAAAATTACGATAAATATTACACTTCATATTTTTAAAGATTTAATAAAAATCGGCTTTTATTGAGAAATCGATTCAATTGCTTTCTTCTTTCAATTTCCTTTTCAAATCACGCCACCACATTTACTTCCCGAAACGCTAGAAGAAACTTATCAACTAAAAATAAAAAAACTCAATTTTCTTCTGATATTACCCACGAAATCACAATAACAATTTAAAAAAAAATGTATTTGACAATATATTTAGCCTTAAAGATATTATTTTTGTTTTTACTTTTTAACAATTAATGCGGTGTTTTCATTTTTCGTAATTATTGTAATGTAGTTCATTGTAGTAAATAACTAGTAGTTTTTTCTTTTAATTTCGGCACGAAAATATTTTATATTTCGTTGTTTAAAAAATGATGCATTTAAATTTTGAATAAAAAAACGTCTCAACAACTGTTATCTTTGGAATTTTAATATTGCTACCTTTTTTTAATTTGGTAAAAAAAAAGTGATTGAATGATTTTCTTTTAGGTACTTAAAACCTAAGACATTTATTTATGGTTCAGACAATTATAGCTGAATTATTAATTTATTACACATAGTTTTTTTTTTTTTTTTTTTTTGCTTTTAAAAATTAGTGTATAACATAACTGTTGTCATAAGTTTAAGAAGTAATATTAATCTTCAATATGTGATGACGACGAATAAATAATCTCTCACTTGTTTAAGTTGCAAGAAGATACAGTATAAAATTTTTCTGATACTTGGAGATAAATATGGACTTTTGTAAAATCACTTACAATTTTCCTGGTTAAGATCGATTTGTCGACAAAAAGTTGTTAATGAGATTATGAAATTGAAGTATTTTTGAATCGAAGTATTGCCTCATGAACAGTTTTTTCCACATGATCAGACGAGGGGAGATAAATAATGTTCTGATAGGAGTCTTGTTTGGGGGCTTGTAATTAAAATTACAGTAAGTACCAAAAAAGAAAAAGAGCTATACGTAAGACAAGAGTTTAAAAAAAATGAATTTTAAAAATGAAAAATCTTTCTTGAAGCTTTTACTGCAACTGACATTTCCAATAAGCAAAATACTTTGTTATTCCAAACCGAATTTAGTTTTTAGATTGATTAATTGGATTTTTTTTTATTACCAGTAAAATCGCTAAAAAAAGTCGAACATATTGATAAATCTGTCAACACAGCATAATTCTCTTCTCTGTATTAAAAAAAAAAATCTTTTAAAAATAAAATATACTTTTCTGAAACTTTATTTGCGGATGATTAATTGATTTAAAGTTTAATCAATCTGAATTTAAACAAATATTACTTAGTTTTAATTGCAGAAAAGCTCAGTTGTGGGTATTTTTATGATGTGTTGGCACATCTACTGATAACCTGATGTTTGTTAGCTTGATTATAAGGGGAAATAATTGTAGTAAAAATACAATAAACGCCTTTTTTTAATTTTTTAACTATTTAACATCTTAAAAATTTAAAATATTTGAAACATTCTAATATTTTATTGAAACCTAGGTACTTTGATTTAATAGCTTTACTTATGAAGATGCTTGTTGAGGAAATGTTAGACAATTACAAATACATTTTATTTAAGGCTCTTATATGCTGATATTGACATTCGTATTTACAAAAATCAAGATGATTTTGGTTATATATATATATATATACACACACACAAATGAGGGAAAGAACAGATGTTCGTAGCATTTACTCAATACAAAGTGGAGCAATATATTATTATTATATTTTTATTATAAGAGATTATAATAAAAACATTTTGAAATCGCTACATAAATGCTTTCATGTTTCAATACTATGATTGTATTTCTTCTGGTGATGGTAAGTAACTGGTGAAGAAACACAATCATAGTATTGAAACAGGAAAGCTTTTGTGTAGCAATTTCAACATGTTTTTATTATAATCTCTTATAAAAATATAATGTGTGTGTATGTGTATATTTATATATATTTCAATTAAAAGGTGCAAATTATAATTTATAAATTCATGAATCATTCACACAAAAAACAAATATAGAGGTTAATGATTTAAATGGCGAGAATACATCTTCGCAAACTATATAAATGAGATACATCAATCCCAAACCTGTATAGGAATGATATGATCCCTGTTCATAAATTCCAGTTGCATAAGGTCTTTTAATTTTTACAAGCTTTCGTCTGTTCCTACAAACATCCTCAGGTATGGAAATAGATTTTGTTCTTGTTTTTACTTCTCGGTAATAAGAGGACAACGAAAATAGTGATGAAATCCGAAAAATGCTATGAGAAATGTGTTATTGTTTTTGAATGTGTGGTCGCAATGCTGAGTTTGAATTAAAAGACCTTATTCATTCATATACAGGTTTGGGGTTGATGCATCTCATTTATATAGTTTGCGAAGATGTATTCTCGCCATTTAAATCATTAACCTTTATATTTGTTTTTTGTGTGAATGATTCATGAATTTATAAATTATAATTTGCACCTTTTAATCGAAATATATATATATATATATATATATAGTTTCTACTCAATAACAGTATCAAACTGCTACAAATTAAAAAAGATATAATAATAAAGTTTATTTATAAATTATTGTAATTAAAATTTAAAAAGAATGAAAACAATTTTTGTAAAAATTCATTATTTATCAAGTTATTATAATTTATTATTATTTATTTCTTAAGACAATAGTGTCCATAATATATCTTATACATAAAAGCAATTAAAAGTTTTTCTAATTAAATAATGTCTTAGTTTTATTGCATTTTTATTTTCAGAGCAGATTTTCTGTAACTAGGAGTCCTGCTTGACAAAAAATTAATTTACATTCTCCGAGGACTTCTAATAAGTATTCTAAACATTAAGTGCTACAAAAATGAATTTCTTAAAATTTCATAAAATTAAATAAATGGAGGGTAACAGATGTAAAAAAAAAAAAAAAAAAAAAAAAAACAAAAATTTCTAAAATAATATAATTCATTTGTGAATAAGTCCTGACAGTTTCATTAAAATCCAACAATTATTTGATTTTTGTAAAAATTTACAAATCATTGTTTTTTACCATAAAGACACTCAAATTTCTCATATTAAAATTAGCATGGGAAATTTGAGATTTTGTGGTGAAAAACATGTTGATGGTTTTTGGATGGTCCCCAGTTGACACCAGAGAAATAAGATTTTTTTTTTTTTTAAGTTTTGAAGGTTATAAAAAGGATTAAAAAATGTAATTTTTATATAAACAAATCTTTGTTTTTTTGTTTTTTTCTCTTAATAACAACACAGATTTCGATTATAAAACTTTATTTTAAGTTCCCGTCATTTTTTGATCATTTATGCTCATTTTTTTATTGCATCTTAGGAGGTACCTAAATTACAAGTTTTTCAAAATATTGCAAGTGAAATTTTATTGGTTAGATTAATTGCCCAGGGGAAGCCAGTGGAAGATAAATGTGTTGATGGGAATTTTACTTTTTAATTAAAATTATCAGTTAAAGCTTTCCCCAATGGGATGTCATTAGTATTCCACCTGGCAAATCCTCTTTTGTTGTCAATTAGTCTCACCTTCTTTTTTTACTGATAAAGATGAATGTCATGAAAATGTGTTAAGGATTCTTATAGTTAATGCCTTTTTAAATGCTTTTAAATAAGTTATCCTTGAAAGAAGTGTTTTACATTTAGTGGTAAATTAATTAAAAATTATCTTTCAAGAACAACAAGCATCAAAAGTATTTATATTGTTGTCTGCTTGATAAATTGTTGAAGAGCATAAATGATGAATGAATTTCTGTGATTTAATGTTATAAGGATTCAATTTTAGTATGCCTTTGCTACCTAAACACAGCAAAAATGGCACATTATATTGCAGTTTTTGTAAACATAATACTGTTTAAATGCTTTAACTTTGAGAATAAAGCAATTCCAAGTCCAGTTGATCAACTAGTGTTTGAGTCATTTTTAATTAAGATTGATACCAAAAATGTTTGTTCAAACTCCAAATCTGTTAATTGCCAATTAGAGTAGTTTTGCACTCACAGTCAGTAATGATACTCTAATAATAATGATTAAATGTAATGATAATTAGCCTTTGCAAAGAATTTATAATTTACATTTTATAAATCACCAAGTCTACCACTGATGTGTTAGCTATTACTGAATTTGTCTAGCAGGCTTTAGATAAGAATGGTGAATCTTGGGCTGTTGCTTTAGATATCATGAAGGCATTCAAAAGGGTTTGGAATACAGTCCTCCACCACAAGCTATGGTGTCTCTGGAGGAATATTTGGTTTAATCCAATTGTTCTTAACAAATCATGTAATGTTGTGTTAAACAGATACACTTCTAGTTCATTAATGTGGGAGTCCTCCAGGGCTCTATCTTTACCTTCATCAACTACCCTCTTGATGTCATTCGTTTCCAACTAGGTATTTATGCTGATGACACAAGTATTTAATCCTAACTTAGTAACAGGTCTTATAAAATAAAACTGCCAATTGCTCCAATCAGTGGTTAACTGGAGCAAGGAATGGCTTGTAAATTTTAATGCCTCCAAAACAAAACTGCTTTAATAACCATAGTGAACCTTTCCTACCTTCTATCAGCATGGCTGATGCTAACCTCTAGCAACTCTTTGTGCCTTCTTGGGCTCATGTTTTCCACTGACATGAAGTGGAATGATTATATTGAATCAATTGCTAGGTCTACTGTTAGGAAAATTGGTTCACTGTTTTGTACAAGACAATTTTTCTCATCAGAATCCATCTTGCACATTTAAAAATCTACACTTTGTCTGTCTGTGCATTTAATATTGCTTTCATATCTGGTCTAGTGCTTCTACTATATATCTCAAGATTCATGATAATTTCCAAAGAATGGTCTATAATGTAATCTATCCTGACCTGGCATCTCAACTTCAGTCACTTTCCCATGATCATGAAGTGACTTTGCTTTTTCTACAAATATTTTCATGGCAATTGTTCTCATGATCTTTTCACCTTAGTAACTTTACTTTGCAATGAGGTCTCACTGTTTTACTGCTGAACTACCTAGATGCAACTGTATGTTCTATTCTAATAGTTTAATTTCTCACACTTCTCACTTGTGGAACTCTCTTCCAGTTTCTTGCTTCCCTGCCTTCCTACATTCTTCAAAAATTTAAATGTAATGCCAATTGCTATCTCCTGTTTTCCTGAACCGTGTTCTTTTAGTGTCTTTTCTCTTCACTAAAATATTCTCATTCTCTTTCACTCCCAGTAACTCCTTGTGTCTTAGTGGCATTATCACCTTGCTTGGGGTGAAATAATAAAAAAATAAAACAAGGTTTTACTGCCCAATGCAGCATTCAAGTGAATAAAAACAGTAAAGTTGCACTTTTTCTTGATGGTAGCACTGGATTAACTTGATGAAAATTAGGGTTAAGTTATAAAAACAAGTTTCAGAATAGGTTAAATAATTTAATAGTTTAAAGGTCAGATTATATAATTTTAAAATAAGTCAAGAAATTTAATTTATAGATCAGGTGAATGACATGCATTTATTGAATAATGTAATTTAGGTGGTTTTTAGAGCCTTGGCTTTCAAAGTTTCAAATTACAAAAACAATTTTAATATGTAAATTAATTATATGTAAGTTATATTAAACTACAGATTTCAATGGATTAAAGTTATATAGTTGAGTAGCAGTTTAACTTTTAGAACAATTTATAGTTTAAAACACTAAACTATTATAAATGAGATGAAATAAAATGTTTAGATCAGTTGTCTTTTTTTGCTGGTATCTCTTTTAATTCTTACATTTTGCACTTCTCTTTCAGATATGCTACTCCATCCTTGAAGCTTCATTCCATTCCAATTTCTAGACCCTCAGGTCAAACTATTCAGCAGTCAGCTTCTTCCTTCTTTAAAGGAGCAAATCAGATTTTGCTCACAAATGTGAAACCTGGCAAGATCTTTGCCTTTTCCTTTGGATCAGCTTGTGTACTGAGCAGGCTGTGTGTTCAAGCCCATTGCAAATCAAAACCTTCCAGATTGGTGGGACTTGAAGAAAGAGATGCTTTTGAACCAAATTTTGATTGGAAAGGTTTTTTTTGGATGGTTTGGCCTGATATATGGAGTTTAATTGGAGCTATTACTGTATGTATCTCTAGTATTTCTTCATTCTATCTTTGTTCTGATTTTACTTAGTTATATATGAAAACATCTATAGGTGCATTAACTTCTACCTGTCCCAACATCCTATGACTGAACTGTATATTTATAGAAGCCAGGGTTTGCCAATACAGACCTTAGATTCTATAAATAATACAATGATGTACTATTTTCTTTTGTATAAGCATAGGCTACCTCTCTATTCTCTTATATGTATAAATTAAATATTTTATATGTAATGTGTGTACTTTTGAACTAAAGGATTTTCTCAACTTTTTAATGGAATTGTTATGTCTAAAAGACCATGTATGATTGAAAATTAAATAGCTTAGTTGTTTATTTTTTGGTACTTGTAAGTTCAATTGAGCATTTTGTTGCTTAACTGATATGTTAGATTTGAGGATATTAAGAAAACTGATCTTCCTGGTGGAGAATTATGATTTTATTCAAAATGTTTGCCTACGCTGTGTTCAGTCTGTTATCTGAAATTCAATTCAGTAATGGCAATTGGGTTAGCATTTTGTCCAAGCTTTGATGAGGCACTTGAATTTAAATCTACTCTTAATTATTATTAATTAAAATTCATGATTAGGACACATTCTTATGTTTCAATAATGCAATGAAAATTATTTACAATTTCAAATTAAAAAATTATATAAGCTTGAAGAAAGAACATCATTCTGTTTGTCAAAAATTTAATCAGACATAATTTTCTTTCTATCTGAATTTCTGGGATGTAAAGTTATCATTATTTACATTATTTACACTCTGGCTATTTTCCTCACCATTGTTGCTATTATCACAATGTTTCGGCCATTGTGCCCTCTAGTTTTCTTGGGTGCTTGTTGATCCAGATGTGATTCAAAGAATTTCAAACTAAACACTTTATTTAATCTACAGGGGTAGATTGTTCTCATTCCACTGTACATGTCTATGAATATCTCTTCTTGTTCTTGTTATATCCCTAAACATAAACAGCAAAAGGAGAACAATCTACTTCCATAGATTGAATAAAAGGTTCAGTTCAAATTCCCTGAAGTTTACACAGATTAATAAGCACCTAATGAAGGCTGAAGGGCACAAAGCCAAAATATTGGTATAACAACAACAAGATGTGGACAATAGTAATATAAATAACATTATCTTTATGAAAAAATTCCTCTTATTGCTTTGCCATTTTACTTTGCCTAACTTTCTTGTACATTTTGAAATTCTGTGTGACAAATGCAAAACTATTTTTGGTTAAATAATCGTTGCAACAAAGTATATTCTAATTTTTTCAAATGTTTTTCTCATTGATTTTATTTATTATCAATGAAAATCAGATAGAGATTTATTATAACAAGAATTATTCAGGGATTTATCAGTAGTAAGGTAACTTTTCAAATCTTGAGTTACTATGTTATAGGAAAGTGTAGTGACATATGTAATCTTGGAATATATTCTATAAAGTTTTCCCTTAGAAATTTTAGAAAGTATTGTGTTTGTGTATATAAATCTAATTTATCTATATTTATATTTACTTCTATAAATAATAATGTTAATATATAGATTTTGTGGCAAATTTATTATAGCTGCTTTTTGTGACTATGAATCATTTTACTTAGTCTTTGCACTCTCAAGATATGAATATTATTCAAGTCAGTATTTCTCAATCATTGTACCCAGGCATATTAATGTGCCCTGAAAGGTAGCTAAGTGCACTCAGGATTAACAGAAAAGTAATTCGTGAATTATATTTATATTTAAAAATCTTTGTTTTTAAAAAGCTAAAGACAACAAGAAGATGACTTCCATGTCAAAATCAAGTCTTTGTTATTTGATATTTTAAACAGGATGCTAAATTCCTTAATCTTTAAAAAGGAGTGGATAATCCTTTCCTTTTTGCCTCCATCAAGAGATTTAAATCCATCATTATCAGTCTATTCCTAAAAAAGTAAAAAAAGCAAATTTTTCATAAATCCCTTTAAATGAAAACTGTACTGCTAACCTTCTTTGCGAATGATAAACCAAAGTTCCCTGACTAGTTTTTTGTTATTAAAATTTAAAGTGAACCCCATTATTTTAGTTATTCTATAAATGTGCCCTGAAGTAAAAAAAAGTTGAGAAACAATGGTCTAAATGATAAGTTGATTTCTAGAACTCTACCTCTTCAGTGCACTAGTATTGGGTGTTATGATACCAATATACTTAATGGACCATCATTCTGCCAATTAGTTAAATGTATTTATATCATTGTATCAGACTAAGATTCCTCAAGTCAATATCATCAACTTGTAGATGGTAGCTTCATAATTCTTATTTGTCACTAATGAAGGTTTAGAGTAAAAACAAAAAATAATGAAAACTCACTTATGACATTCTTTTCCTCCTATTAATATTCTTAATTCAAAATGAAACTGAATAATTGACTCAACTAATAAAAGGATGCTGGTTATTTTTCTTTCCTGTTTCTTATAACCAGAGTGCAGTAGTTGTGGCTCTTGTAAACATTCAAATTCCTCTGATGCTTGGAGATTTGGTGAATGTCATTTCAAATTTTACCCAAGAAAATGCTGGCAACTTTCTGGAACTGGTTAGATCACCTGCCCAAAAACTGTGCTTATTTTACATCATCCAGGTACATATTGGTGCATATTTATTTATACTATTAAAATTGTCTTCCTCTACAAAACTGTGTTATTTTTCACTGTGTATTATTCATATTTCAACCCTGCCTGATTCTCTTTTATTAAATGCATCAATTGTAAGGAGCCTTAGAGTTACAAGAGTAAATACGTTCATGCAAGAAGTGAAGTGAATAGCTGAGAAGCAGGAAATACTATATGCTATTAGGAATTAGATGTAAATTCTCTCAGTTGATATGTACTGTCAAAGTGACAATTGAATTAAGGTTGAAACATAGCGTAAGAATCTTCCTGAAATCATATTAGTCTCTAATACTCACTTTTGTGTACCAAGTTTTGGAATTGTAAATATATCTGTAGTCAAATGCAGTCAGAATTTGTATTTCAAAATAATCTCCAAAGCTTTAAGTGGATATTACAAGTGATATATCCATAGAAAAATATACGTGTCTTTCAAAGTATTGACTTAAAAAATATGAACTGCTAATATATAAAAGTTAGTTATATGTTCAATATCGATTATTGGTGAAATTATAGTTGTGGGGTCTTTATAGGCTGCTTCTTAAAGATTTGAAGCAATTGTTATTAAACTCTCTGTTTTTGTTAGCTTCTCATTTTTGGGCTCTTGCTTATATACAGCAATGTACAAACCCATGTAGGCTGGGAATGCAAATGGAATGACCACAAACTCAGATGCAAAGAGTTATCTTTTGTTCTTTTTAAATCTGCAGAAATGATGCATCTTTTTTCCCCCCCAATCAGTGAGGATTTGAAATATGGTTAAATTCTCTTGATTTATTTTTTTTATATATTTCTTTCCCCATAATTTTAGTTGTTTCATTCCAGTGAATGCCAGTTTGATAAAAAGCAACTGAAATTAATATGAAAAAATTCTATTCAAAAATGAATAATGGCTGATTAAATTTTCTTCAAAAATAAAATAAATGTAAAAAATTAAAATTGTTCCAGACAATTTATTGTGTTAGCTAATTAGCTGTGATTTTTTTTTTTTGTATTTTTTTTTTATCTTGGGCAAAATAATAAGTGAAAATTAATTCAAAATGTAAATTTAGCTGACTGCTTCACTTGATTCTTTCATGTACAGAATATCATTTTTTTTTCACTACTAGTTACATCTCTTTTTCTAATGTAGTATTTTCAAAGCTTTTTTGCTTATGCATGGAATTAGGATCAGTTAAAATATAGACAGCTGTTGTTGATGAATCAGATTTGTTTTATTAGGTCAGCATTTTAAAGTAAATAATTTTCTCATTGAATAATATAAATGCAGAGATACAAGCTCATAAAATTGTATTAAAATAATTTTTTCAAAGAGATATTTTCTGGATTGTCACATATATCCTATAGAAATTCTACAAATTTTGTATATATGATAGTTTGTGTTCTTTTTATGTTATATATAGAAAACATATAGAACCTTCTGTTTCTATATGTTTTCATTTAAGTAACATTTGTCTTATGTATAATCTGTTTTATAGAAATAATGTTTTGAATATATACTATGAAGACTAAACTCACTTAATAGCTTGTGAGACTCATAAGGTAACATTGTTTTATGAACAAGTAACTGATATGATTAATACATGGCCTCTGCATGTAAGGACAGAATATTGAATCTCTTTTCTCTTCATGTTCACTTGTAACTTATTTTCGGCATATACATATGTCTCTTCTTAAATAAGTTTGTTTGAGAAAATTAAATTTCATTGTTTAACTTGTTAACACAAATTAGCAGCTGTCTGTTGAACGTAACTGGCCTCGAGCTTGGGAGGAAACTGCAAATCTCTCAATTTGACATTCTTAGTAATCCCCAAATATAGAATTGTAGGCTTTCAGTTGAGTTTGGAAGCCACCTTTTTAGTGAATATTAAAGATTCTTTTTTCATTTTTTTTTTTTCTCACAGGGTTTATCAACAATGACCTACATCTCTCTGTTAAGCAGTCTTGGTGAAAACATTTCTTCTCGGTTGCGAAAGACATTGTTCCAGTCTCTAATTTCCCAGGACATTGAGTTTTTTGATAAATACAAGACAGGAGAATTAATTGATCGGTGTGTAATTCATTTTAGGAATGGGTAAATTGGACAAACTGCTCAGAGATTCAGAGTGAAACATATTCTTTAAAAGTTACAAGTTAAGAATACAGTTAGAACTATAACTAAATCCAACACTATCTGAAATAATTTGTCTAGTAAAATCTAAGGGAGATCAGCAGGAAGTGCATAAATAGGAAAAATAAAATAAGCAGATTATCTTTTTTTAATTGTAAATTGCATCTTGGAAATAAGGTGATAGTAGCTGCAGATTTCATTAATATTTTTGAATTGATAATTCAACTTCTTGAACAGGCTTAGCAACAAAAGAACCTATAAGTCCATGTCACATCATCCTATTTTTGTACTAAATATGTATTGTATAAGTTAAGACAGTAGATATCAAACTTTTCAAAAAGTAATTAACTACAGGAGTAAAGTAGGCTATTCATTTCACTTGGTGGAACACTCCTGGGTTAAAATCCAGATGAATAGCATTGGCCAAAAAGAAAGAGATCAGTTAACAGTGTATCCAAATTAAATATATGCTCAAAGGATCCTAAAGCATTCTGGTTCAACAATACATTTTAAATTAATATTTAGTATAACTAACAAAATGAATACAAATATAATATTAAAAGAAAACACAACTGCAAATACCTTGCAAAAATAATAGAATATGATTGCTATTTCTATCAGATTCAAAAGAAATTTCTTCTTTAAATAACTAATGGAAGAAAATAGGTAAAGTCATTCATTTATTTCTTTGTAACTAAAAAGAAAAAAAAATCTGTTTATCTTTCTTTTCTTTTGTTAATAGTTGTTTCTATTTTTCATCTATTTTGTATCCATCCATTGATTTTTCTTCTTTACTAATTGATAAGAAATGTATTCAAACATAATTAGAAATGTACATTTACATATATATATATGTATGTGTGTGTGTGTGTGTGTGTGTGTGTGCGCACATGCAAAAATCAGTTTAAATTTCTCCTAAGAAATTTGCTTAAAATTTTTTTTATTTGAAAAACAAAAAATAGCATTTATTTGTTGATAAATGATATGATATACTTATTTAAATATAATAAAAGAATTAGTAGTTGAATTTGACTTTAATGAAGTAATTTTGGATGCTTGAAAATCTAAGATGAAAAAATTTCTTTAATATTTTTTCTTCATTAAATAGTTTAACATCTGATGTTCAGGATTTCAAAAGTTCCTTTAAGGCATGTGTTGCCCAAGGCTTGAAATCATTCACACAGGTAAGCTTTTGTCTGTCTGTAGACTGTTTCTCTTTATTTAATTGATGCTTTTTGATTGTTAAAAATACTTTCACAATTTAAAATATTCCTTATATTTTTATCTGTATACTTCTTTCTTTTTTTTTTACAGAGTTTATAATATTTTGTACATGGACACATGAAATTATATAAAGGTGTACCTTTGTATAATCTTATGTGTCCATGTAAATCAGCATCTTTGTATTTAATATTTTCATATTTTGTATTTTTTATAGAAAGTGGGTTTCTTTATTTCTACTGTTTTTCTGCTAGATGTGTTTTTTATAGGGTTAAGAATGTTCAACTCTTTTTGTACAAAACTGCTTAAAAGATTTCAAATGCTCAAATTCAACAATAGGAAAAAAAAAAATGATGAAAAATGCTTACAGTATCAGTGATTTTTTTAATATTTTCTATATTTATGTAGTATGAGTGCTCAAATTCCAGGGATAGTGCATATGTCAATGTAAACATAGAAACTGCTAGTCACTATGCAGTGTTAATCGCATATAGGTTGCACTATTAGTTTGGGGTTGTCAAAGTGTGTATTTGCAGTTGACTCAAAGATAAGATCACACTATAATCTCGGGAATTACTTGGCCCTTTTTTAACGTAAATATAACTAATATTTGTTAACTCTCAGTCCACATCTATTCAGAAATCTGGTGCACTGCCTTGCTGAGGATTTAAATTGCATAAAATGGTACTTTGGGGAAAGCTGAAGGTCTTTGGTTCTTATTGAATGTCTGGTTACAGTTAAACCATTATTTCTGTGGTCCACAACCCAATCACACAATTCTTTTTCAAGATTTTGGTACAGTGATACTGTAAAGTTTGCTGTTCACTTTGATTATGGCATTTCTTTAAGCTACTTCCTCTCACCACCTTTTCTGAAACTCCAAACTCTCTTTCTGCAGATCTGTTTCCATGTTCTTCTGTGTAATCCATCATTTTCAACTTAAAACCAATTTTATAACTCTTTCTCTTACTCATGAGTAGTGTTTGCAATTATTAAAATTTGTAAACTACTGGTACCAGTAAAAATTAAGGTGAATTAAGTCTTTGTATACCAGTAAATGACTACTCTGCACTGAACAACTGTAAGCGAAATTGTAATTGGTTGTAATTGCATGGTATTTACATATCAAACTGCACTGTTTAGTAAAAAATTTGGATACCAGTCTACCATATTTATTAACAAATTGGTAAAATACAAAAGAAATCATCCCATTACGTTTGTGTCTTTTTTGATAGAGAAAATGGTATAGCTGTCCAGAAATTAATTTATGGTGTGGCTTTTAAAAAGCCAAATAAATTAAACCCCTCATGTTTAAAATAATTAAAAATGTGGCAATTCTTCTCTGGTATGCCAGCCAACTGATTGGGGTTTTGCAAATAAATTTCTTCTAAAGAAGGAAAATCAATGAGTTATTTTTTTCCCTAAATATATTTGTTTTTATCTAGCAAATACACCTAAAATTAAATATTAAAAATAATTAAAAGCTTTTAATTTCATTTTTAGAATGTGTATAATTTCCAAGTCTGCAAGTATCACTTGTTCTTACACATTTTAAAACTGAAATTAAAAAATATTTTAATCATTAATATAATCTTAAGTATATTCACTAGATAAAACCATAAAGATATTTGTAAAAATAAAATGAATTAATCTTCCTTGTTTAGAAGAATTTTAAAAAATGGCTTGCAGTTTTGAAAATATACACATTTTAAAACTGTGATTAAAACTTGCGTTATTTTTTAATCTCTAATTTTAGGTATATAGAAAAAACATAATTTTATTTGCAGAAAACAAACAATTTTACATATCTCGAAATATACACATTTTAAAAGTGAAATTAAATATTTTATTCTTAATATCTAATTTAGGTGCATTCCCTAGATAAAAAACAAATTTATTTATAAAAAAAATCTTCATTTTTCTTGTTTACAACAACTTTATTTTGTGATTGGTTTACTGGCTTCCTAGAAAAACAATTTTTCCCTTACAAACAATCCGACTTCATGAAATTTAACATTAAGACAAAACTGGAAACTATTTTTTTTTTTTTACTTGCTATTTTGTTAACTTAATTACTTAATTACCACAAAAAAAATTTTTTTTTTTTTTTTTAAAGTGAAACAAATACATTTCAGGCATCATGTTGTTTTTCCTTTATTTCTGTTTGTAAACATTCTATGATTTCTAAGTTTTATATCTGTCATATTTCCATTTTTTTTTCTTCTTCATTTCTTTTGTAAACAAATAGATTTCACATTTATTTCCCAAATTAGTCAATTAAATGTTTTTAAAATATTTTTGTTCAATTTTTTTTTCTTAGAATGGTATATAAAATTAAATTTTATTAACATCTGAAAATTATTTTTCAGTAGTGGTTCTTTGGATAATGTCACTCAGTAGTGATAGCACTTAAAAAACTGAATAATTTCGGTTTCGTAAAAAATTTCAATACAGTTTCACAGTATGAAGATGAAATCGAAAAAAATCGGCTACTCAGTTAAATCATCCATCTCTACTGGACGTAGTTAAATATCTAAAGGAAGAATTTTATTTAATTTTTAATATCCTATTAAGAGGCTTGTTACCTAATGGTAACAAGCCTCTTAATCAGTACAAGTAACACAATGGATCTTCTCCTTACTCACTTTATAGTGAGACTAATTTGTTAATAATTACCCAATAATGAGGGTGTTCTCTTCTTTTTCTATATGTTTGTCCCTTCAGAACATAGGCAACCATGGCTCTCCACAATTGCCTATCCTTTGTCACTCTTAGCAGTGGGATCTTGTCTAATGTCGTTATCAGAGAAACAGAAAAAAAAACTGTTTAATCAGCTAAGTGACAAATTTTATTTGTATTAATCTTATATAAAATAACTATATGTTGATATTTACTTGTATGTGTTTTTTCTAGACTGCTGGTTGTGTTGGAGCTCTCTTTTTACTATCCCCCAAGCTTACAGGCTTACTTCTTGGAGTAGTTCCTACCCTCATCTGTGCTGGTTCATTCCTGGGCTCATTCTTACGAAAACTGTCTCGTCAGGTTCAGGCACAGGTGAGTTAACAGTTCAACAAATATTTTAGCAAAACTTTATTTTTTATTTTGCATTGATACTTATTCAGTTTAGTGTGGCTCAGAGCCACAATAATGGACCATCCAGTGAGGATCAATATCATTACACTAGCAAGAAGTCTGTGAGACTTGTGTTAATCATCACTATGATAAAAACCATTAATACTGGTTTGTAATGATAATTTAACTCTCAGGATCAATGGGTATTTTATTACTGATAATGGATGAGACCTTTATATTAGTTGACATGAAAAAAACCTTGATAAAATAAATGCTTTTTTTTTCTATATTCTGATTGGAATATCAAGTCAAGAGGCTCAGGAGAACAAAAATAAAAATAAAACAAAAGACAAAAGATGACACAATAACTACACCTTAAAAAAGGAAAAAAAATATGAAAATAACAGATAAAACAACTTGATAAGTAAAATAAAACATACATAGGTAATACTTCAATGATAAAGAATGTCAGTTAGAACTGCAACTATGAGAGAGACTGAAAGAAATTCTTTGGTAATTCTTTTGTCAGAATCACTTCCAACTCTCCCAAGTGTTAAACCTATTTTCTGTACTCACCTGAAGGGAGTGTATCTATCAATGTTAGAAAGGGAAAGAAGATATATTAGGACCAAGTGTTGCTATTGATTGGACAGGTACAGCAAAGTAGTTTAATATGCTCATAACAGGACAGATGTCAAGTACTCTACATGTTAGCTTAATGGTGAGACTAGCTTATTTCATCCTGCTTGTCTTTATAAAGCCATGTTTTTTGTCTTATTTTGATATTTATCACAGAACTAAAAAATATAAATAAATAGAATTATAGGAAAACTTTTTTCAGTCAGATAATATGGAACTTAAAACTGAAAAACTTCAATGTTCATAAAACAAGAAAGTCTTATATAAATTACATTTTTTACATGAAAAGAAAAAATAAAACATCCAATGCCAATGTTCACAAAAGAGTACTTTTGAATTTTGAAGGTAAAAACATTAGTGTGCCATTTATCACTGGTTTGTTGGTGAGGTTTATTTTCTTCCATTCAAATAGTTAGATTTTGATCCCAGTTTTTTAATATGTAAATTATTTTATTTGTCAGTAGCTAAAAGCATTTATATTTTTTAAGTAAATGGTTAACAGCAGATCGTAGTTCATTTTTGAGATCAGCTGCCAATTTGACCTTATCAAACTATTCAGACTTACCATTAAGACAAGAGTAAATACTTATATCATCAGCATAAATACCGAGTTGAAAACTGATGATATTGGGAAAGTTACTGATGAAAATTAAAAATGTAGTCCAAGTATAGAGCCCTGGAGGATACCTACATTAATGCAAAAAAAAAAAAAAAAAATTCTAGAAGAGTTGCCATTCAAGACAACTTTCTTTTCGAAATTTGATAAGAAAGATTGAATCAGATTAAAGATTTGTCCATAAATACCATAACCGTTGAACTTTAGAAGACCAGCATCGCAAACCCCGTCAAATATGTTTGAGATATCCAAAGCAATAGCCCAAGGTTCACCATTCTTATTTCAAGATTGACAGACTTTTTCAGAAATAACCATTAACACATTTAGCAGTAGACTTAGAGAAGCAAAAGCCATATTGCTTGTCTGAAAGAAGATTCTGAAAGGTGAGATGCTTAACTAATTTGCAGTTTATTAGAGTTTCTAGTACTTTACCAAAAAGAGGTGGTGGAAGGTTAATAGGCCAATAGTTAAAAGAATTTGACAGTTCATCTGATATATTTATACTTTATAGTTTATATATACAAGTCTAAACTTCACTGACTGCTCAAAAATGTCAGTCAAAACCAAACATGTTAATGATGTTTGAATTCACTATATATTTGGGGGTGGCGAAATCCAGAAAATGTCTTTGTTTTCAAGAGATCCTTTCTTTTGTTTTAGTTGTCTAAATCCACAGCTGTTGCTGATGAAGCCATTGGAAACATTAGAACAGTCAGGGCTTTCTCAATGGAAAACAAAGAAATTGAGTGAGTATAAACAGATTAACATTAATTTCCATTTCATTATAAACAAGGAAGGAATCTCTTTTGATTTAGCTGAGTGAAATTAATTTTCAATCAAAAGATTCATGCCCATTAATGCCAGTATTTTTATTACATATCTTTACAAGAGTTAAAACAAATGTTTGGTTGCATAGAGAAGGAACAAACAAAGATTAAGATTTCAACAATATGTATTTGTTAAAATTCAGAATATATACATAGTTGTGTGAAAGGTGGCAAAATTGTTCATATGTGATTTCTTGTTGGTAAGAAAAGCGATTAGGTGTAAGGGTGTTGTTTGCAGGGCTGGTAGTTGACTGATTTCTTGTGTTGGTTGACCAAGGTCACAGTTATGGTTAGGAAATAGATCTGGAGTGGATTCATGAAGCCAGGTGCATTGGTGGGTTGATCAATTGAGGTCACAGTGATAGTTTGATTTGTAGTAAGGCCTGGTAAGGTGCCTTGATGGGTTGGTTGCCAAGGTTACTGAAGTGGTTAGTGAAGCTAGGAATATGATACAGGAGATGCAAGCTTGAATAGATGGGAGAAGTCACAAATCTGACTTTACCAATGCAGAGGATGCAAGCGCATGAATAGTCAGAAGAAGTAATGAATGTGACATTGCCAATACAGGGTCTACGAGTGTGAAGAGTGTAAGGTGCATTGGTTATGGTGGTTGCTGTTAGGGATAGCCTGGAGTGGAGTGTTAGAAATCATGGTGGTGGCATCAGAAGCCCAACATTGTCAAAGCTAGCCTGTCAAAGGCATTCTGTGTGTGATGAGTCAGGTGAGATTAGTGAAGCTTGGGTGAGCTCACAGCAATCATGGTGACAATGACAGCATGCACCTGTATGTTGACAGGTGACCTTTTGCTCTGCGACTCTTGTCAGTTGGGTTTTTTTTCAGCAGGGACATTAGTAGTTGCTTATTGTATTTTATTGTGGGAAATTTTTTTTTTTTTGTGGACCGGATGTGATGCTCAGAGCCCCTGCATAAAAACAACTTTTTTTTAATTTTGTGTTCTGCCTTCTTGGTGTTCACATCCAGTTGAAATGTAGAGTGAATCAGAAAAAGATCTAATTGCAGCAGAGCATAACATGAGGAATAAAAAGATGATATCAGTTACAACATTAGAGTTATCATTGAATAGAGACTATTTATATCAGTAATTTTGTTACATGTGAATTTTATAAATAGCCACAGCAATTTTTTGACTACAAATGAAAATCATTTTTTTCTCAGATATTTTTCACCCATATAAGAATTGATTTTTCAAACAAACGTTAAAGCCACTAAGTAGAATTTCACCAAATATTACACATGCAACCAATAACTAAAATCTTTTTTTTTTCATTCACAATAATAATCAATTTGAGTGTTTATTGCTTTTCAGTGATACCTTCTGACTGAGAATATGGTAGCATTTTTCCCAATGCAAAAACATTGTTCCTTCATGAAAGAGAAAATATCCAGGATTAAGTTTAGAGCTGGTGGGAGAACAACATTCTTTACTATCCTTCTTTTAAATTTATTTTTTAGAATTTTGTTTCTAATTCTGCTATTTCTTTATTTTTTAAATTTTACTAGGGAATATTAGCACATATTTTTTCTCTTATTTATGCAACATATTTGCATTTAGGGTGTATCTTGAATATTTATTATAAAACAGCATTTAATTCTTCAACTTTCAAATTGTGTAGCAGTTATAATATTTTGTGTTTTTTTAAGTTAATCATTCAATAATAAAATTTTTATATATACCCAGAAAAGTTCTGAATATCATTTTTCTATTACAGACTATCTGACTCTTTTTGCCATCAATGTTTGACTATAATACATTGACCTTTGTATGCTTTCTTCTAGGTTGTATGAAAATGAGATGAACAAATCTCGTAAGATGACCTCTAAGCTTGGCTTTGGTATTGCAGTTTTTCAGGGACTCTCTAATATTGCTCTGAATGGTAAGTGAGATTATATATATATATATATATATATATATATTTCCCTAGTATCTACAATGAAATGTTTACATTGATACAAACCTGATCACTAAAATTATAATACCAGAAAGTATAGATTTCAAACAGTTATTTCGCACCTACATTTTTTTTATTAAGGAATTAATAAAAACACTTTTTTCCAGTTGACTTTATTATGTCATAATAATATCCTTTTATATAATTATAGATATGTTGAATTTAGATGAAAACACAAACATTTGGCATGCAGAGATATCTAAGGAATTGAAGAAATTCTTTGTCATTTCTCTCTAAGGGCTGTCTATAATGCAGTTGTTTGTTGGATAGGGCTGTAGGGAATTTAGGGACATCTGTGTTCCATATATTCTCAATAGGGTTTAAACCTGGATGGTGGTAGGAGGATCAATGAACTCAACTCTCAGTTGATCACTCAACTGGCTCCCAGTTTTGTGTAATCTGCATTTAATGTTGAGTGTTTGTTTTATTTTGCTGTAACAACCAATCACCAACATAGTGGACATGATGAGATATAAACAGTCTGCAACAAGATCTGTGTGTACCACTCTTGTTGAGGTATTCTGATTCCACTGGTAGATCTTACAACACTCCAACAATACACGCTTCAAGCTATCATAGAATTAACACCAGTTTGCACAACACTCTACTGACAAGTTGGATCCATAGCCTCCTGTGATCTTCACTATACACAAATATAACTATCTAATAGAGCTGGAAACATGACCATGTGATATGGTGTTAGTCTTACAATGTCAATGCTCTCTTGCCAAGCTAACCAAAGCTGTAATGACAATAATAGTGTCTTGTTGGTCAACAGCTACTGAACTCCATGGAATTCAGTGTAATGTTCTCCTTTGTTAGGTGGATATCATTCTTATTATTTACTAGTGGCCCTATTTTTGCATTATATGTTGGCACTCACAATTGTTAGGTGCCACTGATGTCTGGTATTCACATATTTTTATATTTTGCTACTATTGCTTGAGAAAAATCTCTTATGGGTCACACTTTGGAAATAGTATCCTATTGTTCTGGCTTCAAGAACTGTTCTGCAATCAAATGGTATTAAATCCTGTTTGCATTCTATGGCTGTCAATAGCTACACTACCTCTTTACCTATTATATCACATCATCTATATTTTTACAATTGGTAGTGTAACAACTGATTATAATATATATTCACTGAAATGAAATTAAAAACCATGTTATTGTTAAGATATATGTATTTTTTTTATAGGTGTTATACTTGGGATGTTATTTGCTGGAGGATACATGATGTCTTGTAATCAACTCACTCCTGGTGACTTGATGTCATTCCTTGTAGCCACACAAACTATTGAACGGTCTGTTTTCTGTTTCTTTTATTTTGCTGGTTCATAACAAAACTCAATTATTTGTTTCTAGAGTGGAGAGAGAAATCAAAATTTGCATATAGAATGAGATTATGATAAAAATATGCATCATTGAAGACGGTTAGCATAACACAAGTTTAGGCTCATGTTTTTAGTTTTTAAATGTTATAAACATGAGAGAATGGTCAACAATTTAAATAAAAAATTTTGTCTTTTAAAAAAGGTAAATACACTAGAATTAGATCACAGGTACACATAAAAGTTGTTACGGTTTTTTGTGTATATTATATGTAACTAGTGAGCGAGTCAAAGTGACTTAATTCCCTTTATAGTCTACCAATAGAAGATTAACCAATCAGGAGCCGCAGAACACTGGATCCGTCGTGTATAAAGGCGGCCATCTTTGTTTTCCTACCCGGAAGGACCAGAGGCAACTTGTCCGGCAAACATGACAGACGGAAGAACTACGCTCTGCTACTTTGCTGCGATATCCACTGCGAACCTGCACTACGCTTTCCTACTGTCTCCGAAATATTCACTGCTAACCTCTGGATTCTATACTCGAAGACGACCGTCATGAAAATGTCTAACATGAAGCCCAGATCACGATTTATTTTGATGGGAATGAATCGAGATATGAATTATGGGAGACAGTTTTTGGGCTACCTAAGAATACAAAAACTCCATGACATCATCTTTTGTGTAAGGTCTACCACGAGGGGGATGATTTCATGGAAAGAAATGCGACCGTTTTCGTGGAGTTGATTCAATTCCTGGATGGCTGGAGTTTGTCTTTAATAATAAGAGAGGCCAAGGGCAATGGAAGCCGAGCTCTATAAAAATATGTGTGAATACTATTTGTCAAAAGGTAAGCCTAAAATTATTGCTTTATATACTGAACTAACCACGTTAAAGAGAAAAGAGAATGAATCAGTAACCAATTATTCTAGTAGAGAATGTCACAAATGCCTTAATACAGCAGGAGAGACTATCTCGGATGGGCTGTTAAGAGCCATGGTCTTAAAGGGTTTACCACCGACATTCAAACCATTTACGACAGTTATAACTCAAAAGGATAAACAACTAATTTTCACTGAGTTTAAAATTGCGTTACGTAATTATGAAGAAATTATAAATATGTACCCCCAAAATCGAGGCAAAAAAAAAAAAATGTTTGTTTTCGTTGTGGTAATAATGTCGGCCATGTCCGTGCGAAATGTCAATTTTATACACGGAATGACTTGTAAAAATGTAAAAACAAAAAAAAAAGGCTTTATATATTCTAAATTTAAGATATCCAGACGGAACTGAATTTAATATACAGCAATATGGACGTTTGTATTATTTGAAAAGTATTAAGTCTGCGAAGACAGCCACGCACGACTTAAGAACTTGGCATAAAATATTAGGCCACTGTAATAGTTCTGATGTTAAATGATTGCAAGAACATGTCACTGTAATGAAAATTATACTTCCAAATGTTTTAAAATATTGTGACACGTGTATTAAAGGAAAAATGACTTAAACTTTGTTGCTGAATATTCAGGGCTTATGATATACTTTCTGAAAATAAATTTGATAATCTGCAATCTACGAAAATCTATTTATCCGAGAACTCCCCGCATGGAAAATTAAAAATAATTTGGACAGATAATGGTGGAGAATTTACTTCTAATGCTTACAAAAACCTCCTAATAAATTAAATAAATGAAGGCATTAAAACATGAGAAAACCTATTCTTATTCTCTGCATAAGAACGGAGTCGCTGAACAAAGTTGAAGGACACTTTCTGAAATGGCTAGATGTTTGTTAATAGAATCTAACTTACCCAAAAATCTGTGGTTTTATGCATTAAGAAAGAAACTAAAAACTCCATGAGAGATAGAAGATTAACCAATCAGGAGCCGCAGAACACTGGATCCGTTGTGTATAAAGGTGGCCATCTTTGTTTTCCTACCCGGAAGGACCAGAGGCAACTTGTTCGGTGAACATGACAGACGGAAGAACTACACTCTGCTACTTTGCTGCGATATCCACTGCGAACCTGCACTACACTTTCCTACTGTCTCCGAAATATTCACTGCTAACCTCTGGATTCTATACTCGAAGACGACCGTCATGAAAATGTCTAACAAAAGTTTCTTTATCTTCACACCTGTGTGTTTAAATAAAAAAAAAACAGAATATACCCATATTTCCCAAATAACCCTAACTTAAGAAAACTCTAGAACATTCAAGAAAACAAATTACCCTAAAAAAACAAAACTGTAATAGCAGAAATGACATTGTTGACACTGAGAACCAAGAGAAGAAAAAAGAATGAATTGGGAGAAAGTATAAGGAGACAAAAAAATGCTGAAAAGTTAAAATAACCACAGCATTCAAGACACACACATATCCACACATGCAGACAAAAAGAGAAAAAATATCTGCCTAATACCAATAACTAGTGCATAAATTAATTTTTAATGTAATATAAAGATAACAAAAATGCGAAAATCTGCAGTCAGTTGCTGAAACCTTCTGATGAGTGAACCAAACAATTATAACAAGGTTCATCTACAAAAACTCTAGAGTTGAGGTGCTAAATATAAGATCAATTGGCTAAGCAACAAATTTCATTTGTATTAATCCTTTAGCAATAATAATAAAGATTATATTCCACTAAAAAGATGTTAACTAGTCTATTTGTAGCAGTTAACACTTAAAGCAAGTAGTCTTTGTAAATAAATTGTAAAATTTTGCTATAAACTATAAATTTCCTGTATTCATTAAGCTATAGTTCTGAGTGAAGAATTTGGAGCTTTAAACCTAGTCTGCCTGCTGATGATAATTGTCACACTTGACTGCATTCACTGAAGCTGCTGCTGTTGAAGACTTGCAGTCACTTTTTTCTTTATTTATTAATTATATTTATTTCTATGCTAGACCTATTAATGGGTTCCTCATAATCTAGTATATACACTGATTCTTACAGATGTCCCAACTCTATGGTGTTCCTCTCAATCCAGTATTTCTACTTTATTCCACAGATGTTGATGACTACCCTTTTCCTTCCATACATGATCAGTCATTTCTGATTTCATTGTCTCACTCCAAATTACAGCTTTTCAATATTCCTCCAGCATAACTTTTCAAGTGTGGCCAGTTTCACTTTTATATTCTTTACCACAACTGCAACTTGACTTGGCTGAGATTTCACTGTAGAGTGGATCAGCTTTTGAATGTTGTCCTGATGTTGTATAGGCTGCTGATCTTCTTAATCTTTTCCAATAAGCCCTTTACATAAGGAAGACAGACTGCATCAGTTTTCTGGTCATCTCCCTTGACACTTTTGTTTCTACCTCTGCAGCTGATTGTAGACCTCAATGGAATACCAACTTTGTGAATCTTAGAGATCATACATATGTGGCAGTTTGATGTAACCAAATTCACTAGGCTATTTTCCCATGGAACAATTCAGATTTTAGAAGCCTTAAACATAATCTGCTTGCTCCTGAATCTGCTGTTGCTGCTCATGTTTGACTGCACTCACTAAGGCTTCTCTTTTCTATTGCTACTGTTGAAGCCTTACTGCCATATCTTTCTTTATTAATGAATATATATATATATATATATATATATATATATGTGTGTGTGTGTGGAATCCTAATGTATATAGGTGTACTCTTTTTCAAAAGCAGCTACTAAAATGATTATAAAAATGACTATTCCTGGTTTATACATAGAAATACCTCCCACATAATGGTAAGACATTAGCTAGATGAAGACACCATTGCCACTAATGTCTTACCATTATGTGGGAGGTATTTCTACTGCACTCTGTATTTGCAAAATACACACACTCTTTTTCCCTAGTGTTTGAAGAATGCTCAGAACCATAAAATTTAGGCAACAATTTAGCACTTCACATTTCTTGCTCATTCATTTATTATGATTATTTTTCATACCAACCTCTACTCTTATTCAGTAATAAGAGAGAACAGATATTATTTCTTCTTATACAAATGGCCTAATATGCAGTCAGTTATGAAACTATAGTTTTTGCTTCTCTTTTGCCAGATCATTAGCACATATGTCACTGTTATTTGGCCAGGCTGTGAGAGGAATGAGTGCAGGAGCCAGGGTTTTTGAGGTAATGTCTTATGTTTCCAATTTTTTTTCTTAATTTGTTGCTTTTAAAAAGATGGACAAAAAATGTAGATTCCAGGAAGTGTAAACTTTTAAAAAATCACATATTTTTGCAGAGACAAAATGAAAAAAAAACAAATAGTTTATCAAACATTTATTCCATAATAAAATAGGACTTGAATACAAATTGTTTAAATTCCAATTTTCGGTCTTCAGATTCATCCATTTTCACTTCTGTCACTTCAACTTTTGCTGACAAGAAATTCCTGTAAATAGGTAACATTAGTTGTGTGTGACTTATTTGTAAATAAGACACACATAAACACTCACTTTGTACTTGTATTCTAAAAAATTCTATTGCTGTTGTTAAAGGAACTGACATGATTATTATTCAACACAAAGGGAAGCAAAGTTATTTAGTAAAATAATGATTCAAAAGAGTAGCAAGAAATACAAAAACCAAGATTGGTCAACCACAATAATCAAGATAATTCTAAACAGTCTACCAAGAAGGTAATTTTAAATAATTGACAGGATGTTAGCAGAGGTAATTCAAATCAAATCAATTTTTGGCTTTAAGCATTCCCATAATTCACTTACTGTTTGGAATTTAATAGAACAAAATCAGAAGTCAGGTGATTAAGCTCCAACTGCTGTAAAGTAAACATTCTTTCAAATTGATTGTTTTATTTCATATTTTGGTATGAATTACATTTCTTATATAGTTATTTAACATTAGACAATATGAAATTCTGGGAGAAAATAGTTAAGCTGAAAAAACTTTTGCAATTGTCAGGTTATACCATTTCTGACCAGTTGAAATTAGCTATAAAAAAAGTTAAGGTAATAAAATTAAATATCTTGTAACTTCTTTAAAAAAAAAAGTCTGTGGTAAAATTCCATAATGCAACATTCAGAATAGTCTTACCATAATTCCCCATGTATAATACATCTTCATCCATAATATGCACACTTAAAATTGTGCTGAAAGTGTGGGAATATGCTTCTACTCATGCATAATACATACTCCTTGTTTGGTAATCAAACCCTATAAATTGTACCCCCCTCCAATTTCATTTCAGTCAGCATTTCCTACTGTTATTTAAAAAAATGGTTTTAAATATAGAATAATATTATTCTAATTTAGTTTTATGATAATTCTTATTTTATTTTACGGCCATTTTTTAAAGATTTTTGTAGTTGTGCATAATACCCACCCTGATTTTGCTTATTGTTTTTTAGAAAAAAATGCATATTATACATGGGGAATTACAGTAATATCAGTTTCTTAAAGATTTTTTGCTACAATAACTACTTTTGAGCATTTTGTAGGATAATTACATGTTTATTTGATCCACTGGATTTATATATATACATATTTATAGATTTTATGTCATTTTCTTTGTAGTTCATCAATGCCCATCCCAGAATTCCCCTAAGTGGAGGAGAGAAACTACCACTTGATGCCGTGAAGGGAGAAGTGTCTTTCAGTAATGTCAACTTTGCATATCCAACTCGCAAAGAACAAGTATGAAACATTCAAGAATGTGAACTCTTAAAAACACAAATTTTTTTTAGATTTTGAGTTCTATGGATTAATATATATTTATTTAATATTAGGTTGTCTGGAAAGAAATATCACATTAAAAATATACAAATTGGAAACAACTAACCTATTGTGAAATCAAGGTTAAATAGCAAACTATGGGATTTAGAGCAGATGCTTTATCAGGTTGTTCATTTATGGTTTGTTTAATTCCAAGAGAGGAAAGAAAGTGTGACAAATTCACCATTAGGTACTAATGCAGCACAGATAATGAAAGTTTATGCTATGCAACTAAGTGCAGTAGTTGTGAAATTGCAAGTTTAACAAATTTGAAAAGGGTGACAATAATTTTTCTGATTCTGGAGACCAACCTCTTTTTTTAAGGTATCTGTTGAAGCTGACCATTATCAAAGAAGCAAAGATTTAGCAAAAAAGAAAATGGCATCATATTCAACTATATATGAGCATTTCAAGCAAATTAAAAGAGAATTTGGGTTCTTATGGACTTTCACTATAATCTAGTAAAATGATAAAATATTTGTTAAATCAAAATGAAAACCATCTTCACTGGATTTGTACAGGAGATGAATAATGGGTACTGAATATGAACAAAAAATGCAAAAAGCAGTTTTCACCACCCTATGTCAAACTGATATAAGTTGGACTTCATCTATACAATGTTTTAGTTTTATCTAGTCTAGTATGAGTTACTTGGAGCCTGAAGAACTTTTAGTTTTGGTTAAAATTTTCTTGTCTAGTATGTCAATATACAGCCTTACTTAAAACTATTCCAGGAAAAAATGATCAGTAGCATGATACATTTCCATCCTAACACTTACTTTTTCATTGGGCTACTATAATTGCTATTTTGTTAATCAAAAATATAATTGCTATCATAAAGATTGCAATTATATTCTTGATTAGCAAAATTTAACTGAATTATATTTGCATCCACTTTATTTCCTTGAAAATATCATATTACCTTCCAAACAACATAATACAAATTTATTACTTAAAAAGAATCAGCTATTGTTTATTTTTTTTGGAACTTTTCTTTCTGATTCTGACTCTTTTATCACATTATTCTTTTTCTCTGTTCTATTAGGTCTGTTTAGTTTATTTTCATCTCTTTACTATAAAAATGTTATACATATTTGTAATTGCCATAAAATCTTTTATTCAACTCATTCCATATTATTTTCTGTATTGCAAATTATGAAAATAGACAGCTATAAAAGAAATAGTAGTTGACATTTGTTTTCATGGGGAGAAAATGTGAATGTAAAGGAAAAAAGTGAATGTAAATTGTGAACTTTGAAAGTTGATTAGTTGAAAAAAGCTTGTTGGGTTATTTCCTCCTAATTTTTTAAACTGTTCCTAGGGGAGCTCTCCAACACTATAAATACTCTGCAATAATTTTTGTATCATTTTCTTCTACTTTTCTGCTTATATGGCAACATGTAAATTTCTCACAAAAGATTGCATTTTTCATTTTTGGGAAATGCATGAACAATACATACACACACATGTACGTATTCCCATTCACTCACTTCACATACTTTGGACCAAAAGGTTTCCACATTCATTTGTTATACACATTATTGTCTTTGTCACTTGTAGCCTTTTTGTTTCTTTACATTTTTTAGGTGGCCTCACATTTCAAGTCTGTTATGTTTGCTATGAGCATTTTGGGAGACTCATGTGTTTATCTGATAACACATACCCTGGCCCACAACAAGCTGAAGTGTTTAAGTTAAGCAAGAGAATTTAAGATGCTTTTAAATAAAATGAAAAGAAAACAAGAAAAAGAATAAGAATCAACTAGTTGTGATTTTTTTTTTTTTTTTTGAATTGAATTGAAGACTATAGCAACACAGAATAACAACAATGTAGTCAATTTTTTATGATTGAACAATTCAGCACCAAAATACAACCTTTTGCTAAATTCAGGGAACCTTTTAATTTCTTTTTATATTTCTGTTTTAGCAAATTCTCTCAGACTTTTCTCTGAAGATCCCTAATGGTAAAATGGTGGCTCTGGTTGGACCTTCTGGAGGAGGTAAGTAATACTGAATTCAATTTGTAAAATTACTCTTCATTATAGAAAGGTACATAACTCCAAACTGTTAAGGGAAGTTTTATTTCATAATTGCTGATACATTATTTGGATGTATCCAAGGAAGATGGTTTTGACGATAAAACATTGTACTCCTGCCTGTCAAAATATGGAGATTTCAGCTGAGGACAAGTCTTATAACCCATTAGGACTGAAGAGACACGTCATGTATTACAGCTGTACAGCCATAAACATATGTCTAAAGCAAGATAGCCTGATGGGACTTATCTTTCTTTAGGAGGGTCTTCACTTTAGAGTTGCCCTTCTACACTGCCTTTCAAGGCTAAATGGACCAGTCTATTATTTTTTGAGTGGTGTGATATCAGAATTGTCCTTTTCCTATGTGACTGTTACTGAAGGCAAAAGAACTCAGTTTGCCCTGCTTTTTAAACCATAGCTAGAAGAATATAGATTCGTACCCTTCCTAAGAGCATTAATGCAAAGTGAACAGACATGGTCAGAATTTGAACTTCTCATTCTAATTCCACTTTCTGTACCAGTAAACATTGTTATCCACACATGCTAGAATAGGCTTAATAAATTTTGAATTTGGGTATTTGTACACATATTCACTTATATACCGTATCTACTCACATATCTGGCAACTTTTGAAGACCTAATTTTGAAGCTAATTTTAAGGGGGTTGCATCATACACGTGATATAAAATTTGCATATGTACTGTTGGCCCTGGTTATGCCATTGACCAAACTACATATCCATTTACAGTAGTTGAAAAGTACAGCTGTATTTAAAATAAACATGATTTTGATAAAACATATTTTACTTAACTGTATCCAATAATAATGCATGTAATATTCACATATAGAGTAATGTATTATAAAATACAAACATAGTGAATATGTATCTTTTCCATTGTCTACGTTTATAAGATGCTTAGCTGTTTTTTGTTCAGCTGTTTATGGCTGTACACATTTACACAATGAATATAGTGTTACGAACAAAACTTTTATTGTTCTCTTTTAGTTTTTTAATTTATTTAACTAGAACATGGAATAAAGAGGTAGAGAAAAACAGGTTAGTCTATTGGAATTTGGTACATGAAATATGTGATAAAATTATTTTTTATAAGTGAAAATTTGGAGGTCTCATGATAATGCAAGATCACACGTTACATAAGTATATACGGTATATTTGAAAAACAGTTTTAACAGTATTTCATATTTTGTCACTATTTTCTTCTGTTTAGGTAAATCAACAGTGGTTTTACTTTTGGAGCGTTTCTATGATGTTGATTCAGGAGAAATATTGGTTGATGGACATTGTGTGCAATCTTTGGATCCCTCATGGTTGCGAAGAAAAGTAATTGGTTTCATTAACCAGGTTTGGAATTTTTATCTATCTCTATATGTGTGTATATAAGGATATGTGGAGGCGTAACAATTATTGACATGAGAAGTGAAATCAGAAAGCATGAATGCCTTTGGAAATGAATGAATCCATTTCTTCTCCACATAGCTATGGGTTAAATGGCAGGATAGACTTGGTTCTCTAATGTTGATTGGTAGCCAGTCTAGGAGAAAAAAACACTCCAAAATTACAAAACATGGAGAAGACAAACTGAAACCACACCACTCCCAAGAAGGAAAAAGCAATTCACAAATTATAAAGAAAAGGTATCTATGGAGAGCAATGATTGCCTAAGTCCTGAAGATACATGGAATCTTAAAAGATGTTGTATTTATCAGGATGCTATACATTTTATATTGTCAAGTATGTATAAATTGTTGTGCATATGTGAATGCAGGGCTCTCAAACACACAACCTGTAGATGATCTTTCTGTGGCCCATTTTCATGAACAATATTTTTCTCAAATTTTAATAAATTTGCCCCTCACCTCTTCCATACTTTTACAGTAGTGAATCTCATGTTTGGGAATGAATCCTTATCTTTGTCAACATCAAGAAAACAAAATTTGTATTAATTTTAATTTTTTTTATTGACTATTTTCAAAATCTATGCACATTTGTGTATTCAACCCGAATAATCTTTATTAAACCTAATGGCTAAAGATAGCAACCTAAACATTATCATAACTTAAAAAGATGTTGGTAAATGTTCTTTGTGATATGAATGTATATTTGGCAATATGTTCAATTATAAATTATTTTAAGACTATAGAGTGACAGAGTCCAGTAGCACTTGATCAGGCAACAATAGAATATCTATTTCTAAAGCCATATTAATTCAAATACACGAACATAGTTTGCAATTATTAATTTTTGATCAGTTTTTTCTTTTCTTATTTTTGTTGCTTTTCTTTTCAAACCTTGGGTGGTTTTTATATTTATTCTATAACTGTTAAACAATAACAAAGCTTCATCTAAGAAATTCAGATCCCAAACTATTACAGCTAATACTACTAGTAGAAAGAAACAATAGGGTAAGTAAAAATATCAGTTAATGAAGACTGTAAAAATATTGATAAATTTTTTACTATGTCTATTGGTTAGTTTTCATGGGTTTAACCAGTAAGGTTCAATATTCAAAGATATTTATAAGATAAACAAAAATAATAATAAGGTACAGTTCCTAACTTACAAGGGTTATGAGTTAAAATCTCATTAGAAACTGCTCTTTTTCTTCTTCTAATCTGTTAATTTACTAATGACTGTAGAATAAAAATAAAAATGTGTTGATGGCAACCATTAAAGTCAACAAAAAGAAAATCTAAACCAAAAATGAATTATGATATTGTTTCATCAAAGAAGTTTAGAAAACTTAGTACTATAAGCATAATGGAATTTTGTTTATATCTATTAAATGATATTAAGCAATGAATATACATTTAGATATATTAATCTAATTACTATAACTTTATATTGTTTTCTTCAGGAACCTGTATTATTTGCCACATCTGTCATGGAAAATATACGTTATGGCAATCCAGATGCTACAGATACTGAGGTAAAGAATTTGTGAGATTAAATTGTTTAAGAATTGATATGGCATTATTATATTCAATGGCATTTTCCATATTTCATTCTTGTTTTAAGTTTACATGAGCATAATCATCCTTATTTGGTACAATATATATGATTAGTAGTTATTTTATTTATTGTTGGCAAAATATAAGGAAAAGTGCTTGTATGATGATTATGGTGGGCAGAGACACTAGTACCAGATATGACAAAATGATGGCTTTGTTAGCAAGTAGCACTTGTAATGTTTAGTACAACTCTTGCTAAAATGTGAATGGGCCACATGGTTAGTGTTGTCAAAACGTAATTATATCTGGTATACCATCTAGTGGTTTTATTGCATTACGTTGTGATTACATGGATGCTTTCACTCCAGCAGACCCCAGTAGAAAACTAAAAACAATGTTCACCCAGTTGAATCTGTCACTAAAGCCAGTAGTAATACAAAATGGAAACTTGCAAAATTTATTTTTAAATAAATTGAATTTAAACTGGATTCTTCAAGCAGTGAAGGAGATTGTACTTTTTTATATTCATAGCATCAACATCAGTAGTCACTACATGCCTCTTTGCCTATGTCTTGTATTCAACCAGCCACAGCACAGAAACATGGCTGGAAAGCAACTCGACTGGTGAGGATTCTGGTAGCAGCATGGAATGCAGCCAGAAATTTACTCTAAAAGTCTATGTTCTTCTGCAAAACCTTATCAATTGAACATTTGATGACAATCCATCACTGTTATTAATAAATCATTTCCTTATAAACATTGTCTTTATCATTTTCTGAGGATCTCTCTCACACCAGATAACCCTCTCAAATTACCATTTCAATCAGCTTCAGTAAGGAACAACATAAATTCTGGAGGATTTTTCCTTGCTGTGCAGTGTCTGTTATATCCGTTTGAAACATGATATTCAAATAAAAGCAGAATCAATTTTGACTTTAATGAAGTTTTCAGTGATACCTGGTATTTATACAAGAAAAGTTAAAATGATATAAAAGGGAAGAAAAGTGTAAGGAATTACTTTTTAATACCAGAATTTTCCTAAAATTTGAACTCCAACTGCTGTCTTCATTGAAGGCATTATTGATGTGTTCATGACTTCTGACAATATCTTAATCTAATTTATGTATACTTGTATGTTTTGTTTTGCAGGTTATAGATGCAGCTAAACTTGCTAATGCTGACAATTTCATTCAAGATTTCCCCAAAGGATATAACACTATCCTAGGTGAACGAGGTGTGACTGTTTCTGGTGGGCAAAAACAGAGAATAGCCATTGCCAGAGCACTGGTGAAAAATCCAGCAATTCTTGTCCTTGATGAGGCCACAAGGTGAGATCTATAACTTATGCTGGTGTTATATATTGTTTCTAAATAGGCTCAGAAAAAAAGTCTTTAAAGTTACATAGCAAAATTATCTTAAACTGACCATATTAAAATCTATTTTCATTAATTTGCATTGACTAGGTTTATAAACTTTTATTGAGCATGTCAATACAAGAATCCAGAGCAGGAAGGTAAGATCAAATTGTATTATTTGTAAATTTTAAAAATTCCTACTTGCTAAATATGTTTAAATCTGTTAGTTTTCAAATATCCATTAAATACTTTAATGAATTCATATAAAATTTGACAAAAAAAATCATTTGATTAATTTATCTTTTTTTTCAGCTAGAAAAAAAGCTAGGTATATATCTTTTGTATATAAATGGAAAGTTGTAGTTTTTATTTCAGTCAATATGAAGTTATTTTATGTATTTGTTTATCTGTTTCAGTTTAGACTAATCAAAAGGCATAAATAAATATAATTGTTAGTGATTCAAAAACTAAAACATAGTATTCCCTGAATGGATGAATATTGTCAATAATGATACTGACAGATTGATAATGATCTTATTGGTTGTCTTTATATTAAACAAGATTAAAATCCAATACACGTCTTGCTTAATATTTGAAAACAAAAATTGCTACACAATTGTTTCATTATGTTTTCTATGGTTATATATTTTCATATTTCTTTATTTTTACATTTTTGACAACAGTGCCCTTGACACAGAATCTGAGAAAATTGTCCAAGAAGCTCTCGACAAAGTTTGTTATGGTGAGTAATTGTTTTACCAAAATAAATAATAGTTTTATGTTCTGCTCCTATTAAACTTCTTTCGTATGTCACCCAAGAGCAGGCTGAACAAGTTTAGGCCCAATTCACTTCCCCAAATCCGATCAAATGATCAATTTATAGACTAGTCAATTTATTACAATATACTATGTCACCATTTCGATATAAGTCAAGAATCTCCACCTTTTGACACTTTTGGGAAAATTTACTTTTGATTCATATTTATTGCATATTACAATAAATTAATGAATGACTTTATCAATTACATCAAAGAGATTAATCATTCTCCAGTATAAAATATCATTTTTAAGTTCATCAAATAATTAAGCTTTTTAAATGATTGTTAATTTCTGCAATGGATTTATGATATTTATTTAATTATTAATGAAAATATAACAACCAGAATAAACTTCAACCTAAAAGTGCAATTAATTTTGTAAAATATTTTCAGATGTTTAAAGTCTGTGAAAATTAAAAGTTAAGAATTACTACTGTCATGATGATGATATTCATGAATAGACACAAGTAGAATAAAAATTTCTTTTAATGGTAGATTTTAATCTTAAACCAATTTTTCTTCTTTAAGTATGAATTCAGCATAATGAATGCCTTTGACTTAAAAGATTTATTTATTTACATTTTGATGAATTTCTACAGTTGTTATAATGTTATTATCAAATGCTGTATAGACTAAAGGCTTAAGATTAATAAAAAAAAAACAAGTTTTCTTTCATTTTATTTAATTTTGAATGTTGTATTTTTATAAATCTCTCAAACTTTATGAATTATTTGCAATGCAAATTACAAGAACAACACTTCTATAGTAAATTATTTGCTATAGATTTTCCTAAATGATTATTTTTGCCACAACCATGACAGTGATGGTCAAATTGGCAAGAATATGGAGGAGCAAAATCAGCTTTCAAACTAAGTACAGGCTACAAATTGCTGATAGTCTCCATTCTCCTATATGGATGTGAAACATGGACACTTTTAGCAGGAACAAAGAGAAGGATCCCAGCATTTAAGAACAAATGCATGAGAAAACTCCTTGGCATCTATTGGGAACTTAAAACCAATGAGTTTTTGCAGAAAATAGTTGAAAGTTTTGTGGACCACCTTTTCTTGCCACTGTTAAATGGAGAAAAATGGTGTGGTTCGGACACATTACAAGTCACGACTGCTTGTGCAAAACCATCATGCAAGGCACCATTGAAGGTAGATGTAGGATAGAACGTCAACGTAAAAACTGGTTGGACAATGTCAAACAATGGGCAGGTATGACTATACCAGAATTACTGATGGCTGCCATTGATAGACCATTTTAGACAAGATTTAGTGTGGCTTCTGTATTCAGATCCTCACCCCTATAATTACAAAATCAAGTTGATGATGACTATGATACTTTTACTTTTATTATTCCAGGACGGACTGTGATTGTAATCGCTCATCGTCTGAGTACAATTAAAAATGCAGACATTATTGCTGTTATTGCCAAAGGAAAAATAGTTGAGGTAAGATCAGTATGTCCAAAAAATTACTCAATGTTTTTGTTTTTGATAAAGTGCATATACAGAAGAAAAATGTTTTACAATAAGGCATAGGCATAATCTTTTTATTTTTTATTTTAGTAAACTTCATCTCTTGAAAAAAAAAGTATATTCTTTAAATTTTACTTTAATCTGAAGAGAAAACAGTTAATATATATAAAATAGCTGCTAGATTATTATATGTGAAAAACAAAATATGATTTTTTTTTTTTTTTTTTTTTTGATAGAAATATTATTTCTATTTTTTTCTTTCTTTCCAGCTGGGAAACCATAATAGTCTTCTTGAGAAGCGTGGATTATTCTACAAGCTTATTCAACAGCAGAATTTGATGGATAATATTTATCGCTCTTCTGCAAAAGCTTAGTGCTTTAAATTAATGAAGGAGAGCAAAAAAGAGACCAAAGATAGAAAAAAAAAAATAATTAAAAGAGAAGAAAGTACTGTAAGATATTTGTAATAATTTCTTGGAAGAGAATGCAGAAAGAAGAAAGAAAATAATGAATGGATGGATTAAGAAGTAATGAAAAAAAAAAGTGGAGTGAAAAAAGAGAAAGTGAAGGATGAAAGCAAAAGGAGAAATGGGAAACAGCAAAGACTAAAAGGAAACAATGAAGAATTAAATTTACAAAAATAAGAAAAATGTAAAAAACAAGATAGAAAAAAAAACAACCAAAAAAAGTGGAAGAAAAAAACCAATGAAAGAAGAAAGATTATCTAATTACCCAGACCATATAAGTTATGATTTATTGTTAGTCACATTTGTTTTCTTTTAAAAAAGAAATAAATTTTATTTAATTTAAACTTTAATTTTTTTTTTAAATTCTCAGTGCAGCAGTTAAACTGTTTTTGGATGGTAAAATATTGGATATCAAAAAGGCAGTTTACGTTTGGACGATTAGGAATATAATTCAATTCAATTCAAAAATGGACATGCGAACAGATTAATAGGAGTAGATAGGCTCACCTATCAGCCAGGCCACACTCCTTCCATGTTTATTGAACAGGTATATAGTATCATCCCTTGTTACCTGTTTAGGATATGCTTTACCGGTTCTTTCTCCTACCAATGCCATAATGATTTAACTGTCTTAACTTTTTTGATGATCAGACAAATCAGTGGTTGCAAATTTCCATTATGAAGATACGGGGTTGGCAGTTTTCTGGCTGCTGTTTCCAACTGGTTGTTAGGAGTTCAAACTCTTTGTTAGCACTTAGAGAGGCTGCTCTGATCAACAGTTACATAATATTGGTGTATTTATAGTGCCATGTTGTGCATGGATAGATGTCCTTCAGTGGGAAACCCTGAGGTCACATTATGCACTGAATTAGTTTGTATCACCATGGATGACAGTGATAATTATGTTGGTGTTTCTTTTTCTAAATACAAATCACAATGAAGAGAAATATGAGTAAACCAGTACACACAAAAATACCTACCAACCTCAACCTTTCTTTTTCCAATATTCGCGGTATCCATTCATACTTCTGCAGCATAGAATCTTTTCCCTTGGGACAATCGCCAGATATCTTTACACTTAAATTCTTCCATCGTTACCAATGAATTCCCTGTTCTAGGCTATCTTCCCCTTTACCGAAAAGCTTCCAGCATTCACATGCATGGCGTTGGTATTTACATCCATGATAATCTTCTGATGTCTCTCGAGTTTCCAGACAACTATTTCATGTGCTTCCCTCTTTCATTATTACACTCTGTTAGCTATCTCTTTTTCTTTTATTGCTTCCACTCTTCTCAGGAGTGAAGTATAGTATTGTGGTGTTGAATTAATTACCTCAGACGTCCAAGAGGGCCAGAGTGGTATAGCCTAAATTTGCACATAAAATGAACAAATTGTGAGCAAGGCAAACTGTACAAGCATTGGCACTGGAATGACAAATCTTCACAGGACTACATTTATGACTATCTAAAATCACTGATATAATTTTTATGTTTCCCAATTCAAAGCCAGCTATAGACATAAATCCCTAAAACACTAACTGTAGTTCTGTGAAGATTTGACCCCACCCCATGTGGCCTTGGGGTAGTCCTAAACCTTCCGGAACACAAGTGGATAGAGTGGGTGGGACCCCAGCAATTATCCATATAAGCAAAGAGGCAGGAAGTTGAGAGAGAAAGGCGGGGGGGGGGTCCCTCTGTGAGAGAAGTAGTAGTAGTGGCCAGTGACAGAAGGACCGGTAGTGAGGAATCTGGAGTCACTGAGCCCAGAGGCCAGTTAGGAAGGGACCAGCTAAGATAGGGAGGTAGCAGTTCAGCTGAAGGAAAAAAATAGTCTACTAAGTGATATATCATACTGTTGTGAACTCCAAACGAGTGTCTTTAAAAACAATTGTCATTATTATTATTGGTTGAAAGTGATTACAGCCAACAAGGAGACGAACTTGGGCACATAAGTGAGTTGGGCGTATATACAAATACAACTCAACTTTGGATGTCATCACTGGTGCAGTAAATGATGGACAATCAGAGAATGTCATCACAAAACTTGTCACAATTTTACCACAAATGGCGTCATATGGTCTCTATTTCAATTTGAGCTGTTAACATCTGCTGATAAAGCTGAATGCTTAGCCCATAAAATTCTTAAACTCTACTCTTGACTCATCTGGAACATCCCTGTCTAACTTTCCACTTAGAACTGAGGCTTTTTTGAGTAATATACATATAACCCCTTCTATGCTTTCTGCTATCATCTCTAACCCGTGGCAGACTGGGTTAAAAATCTCTGCCGAGTAAACTTATAAAAGGGCCCCCAGTCAAAAGGACCCATTTAATCCCAAAACTTAATCAAAAGAACCAAATAAAGGTTTTACACAATTTTTTTCTTTTTTTTCTTTTTTTTTTTATTTCTAAAGTGATGGATCATCACAATAGGGTCCACTGAACTGTCTAACCTTTCCAACTATCAGCCTATTAACCTTCTGTCTCTTTTAGGGAGACTACTAAAGGCTCTAATCAATGCTGAATTGGTTTAGAATCTCACATCGCAGGGTCTTTTTTCAGACAAGCAATATGACTTTAGTTTCTCCAAGTCAGCTGCTTATGCACTGACAATAATTGCAGAAAGGGTCTATTATGCTCTAGATAAGAATGGTGAAGCCCAGGCTGTAGCTTTGGCCATCTCAAAAGCTTTCAACTGAGTTTGGCATACAGGTCTTTTCTGGACAAACCTTTGAACTGATCCAGTCTTTCCTATAAAATTGTGAAATTTAAGTTATCCTGAATGGCCCCTCATTTAGATCTTTTCATACTAATGTGAGTGTTCCCCAGGGCGCAATCCTTGGTCCTACTTTGTTTTTTAATTTTCTTTAATGGCCTTTCCAACAACTTGGTATCTATACAACCATTTACTCCTGTCTCAGTAGCAGGTCTGATCCATTTGATAAGGTCAAAATGGCAGCTGATATCCAAAATGACACTCAGTCTGTTCTTAACTGGGACAAAAAAAAATGGCTTGTTAAATTTAATGCCTCCAAAACTAAACTGCTCTCTCTTAATGATCTTAGAGACCCCACTCTGCCTTCTATCAGCATGGCTGATGCTGATCTCCAAGTGAGTGGCTCATTGCAACTTCTTGACATGACCTAGAGTGAAGCAATTGCTTGGTCTACTGCTAGGAAAGTTCGTTCACTGTATTGTACTAGACAATATTTCTTGTCAGAACCCATCTTGCACATGCATAAATCTATCATTTGTCCATGCATTGAATATTGTTGCCATAACTCATCTATATATCTCAAGATTCATGATAATTTCCAAAGAATGGTCTATAATGTAATCGATCGTGACCTGGCATCTCAACTTCAGTCACTTTCCCATGATCATGAAGTGGCTTTGATTTTTCTACAAATATTTTCATGGCAATTGTTTTCATGATCTTTTCTCCTTAGTAACTCAACTTCACATGAATTTAAGCATACTACTAGATACAACTGTATGTTCTATTCTAATAGTTTAATTTCTCACACTTCTCACTTGTGGAACTCTCTTCCAGTTTCTTGCTTCCCTGCCTTCCTACATTCTTCAAAAATTTAAATGTAATGCCAATTGCTATCTCCTGTTTTCCTGAACTGTGTTCTTTTAGTGTCTTTTCTCTTCACTAAAATATTCTCATTCTCTTTCACTCCCAGTAACTCCTTGTGTCTTAGTGGCATTATCACCTTGCTTGGGGTGAAATAATAAAAAAAATTTAATGGATGCTTCTTTTCAAGATCAAAGTCAACTTTTGATCTTGAAAAATTTAAATGCAGTGTCAATTGTTATCTTCTGTCTTCTTAATTCCTGTTCTTTTATTGTTCTTTCTTAATAGTAGTTTTATTTTTCACATGTTCCCTCACTCAGTAACACCTGTGTTTTAGTGGCTTTATTGCCTTGCTTGGATTGAAATAAAAACAAATCAGAAAAATAGCAACATCTCAAGTAATAAGCAAGAGAATAGCACATGAAGAAAAATATTTGCAATAATGTGAGAAATTTGTCCTGGCTTTCGCACATGAAAGGGTTGAGGGTAAAAATTGCAACAAAAATTAAATAAAAACAGCAAGCAACTACAGCTTGAAAGATTAGAGCAGACAAACTCTTTTACGTGAACGAATAAAGAAATACTTCAAACTCCTGCTTGGTGTGAAGCAATAAAAAAAGAAAGTGTTTATTTACATCTACAAAAGAAAGGGTAAAGGAAACACAATTAGGGGAGAAAGAAAGAAAGTGAGAAGAAAACTTTAAAGGAAGAGAAAATATTCTTAACAGAAAAAAAAGGCTTGCTCAAAATATTTCTCTGAGTGCCTAAAAGTTCTTTAAGCAAAGTAGATTAACACTTAGTTTTCTTCAGAGTTCTTGCAGAGTAGGAAAATGTCAATAGACACAAAATTCCATAGTTGAGTGAGTTTGTAGGTCAACGACATAAATCTTCCAGTCACAAGGAGGCAGTTCTCAATTAGTTTTAGTAGTGGGCTGACGTTCTGTCTTTTCAGTCCAGCAGGTAGATCTTTCTTGAAGATGAATGCCTCTCTTATCTCAGACGGTCCTTGAAATTACTGCCAAATAGGCAAAGATTCTCCAAATTTATAGAGATTTGGAGGCTTTTCCCTCCAAAATTGTTAAACAAATTCCCTGGCCCCTTCATTGGTTAGAAAATATATTCTTATCTCTGATAAGAATCAGGGTTTTTGAAGCTGCAACAAGCTGTGAATGTTTCCTCCACACTTTATGGCCTTATGAAAAGAATAATGGTGGTTGAATTTCTTTTGATATTTTCCAGCTCACTTGTTAGAAAACATTCTTATCTTTGATAACAATCAAGGCTTTGGGAGCCGGTTTTGAAAGCAAGAAAAGAGAATTCTTGTAAA